GAATGCCAGCCTGTCCCTCTCCTATCATGTCTGACCATGATCAGAAATTATGTGATCCAAAGAATTCACATAAAAAATGAAAAAAAGGTAAAAAAAATTTGTGTTACCATATAGCACATTACTTGGGTAATATATTCAATAGGTAATCTGATATGTTGGAATATATTTAAACCATTGATTGTGTTACTCCACCTGTTATAACACTCCCAGCTTACCAATTGGTGTTACTATGAATCAATCTACTTGGCCATTGTTTTGTTGGCTTATCACATATCACATGGGTTGTACACAGCAACCTTTTTTAGATCCTTCAGTCAGGCTGTGCCTTATGTATATCTGCTATATTGACCAATTAGGGTGCCTTATATTAACCACTACTTATGAGGTTTTCTAAGCTAATAGGCAAGGGGGTGCCAAAATAGGGGGAGGGCTGCCCTGGGGAAAATGTACCAATGCAGATTTTTTTGCAATCCATCCAGCCAGGAGCAGTGATTTTATAAACAGTAAAGTGCAGGAATTGCTGGCAAATGCTTTAACAGCTGCCACTGCCACATTCTTGGCTTTAAAAAAAAACCAGCCCACAGACCCCTCTAATAGTCTGTTATGTATTTTGGGGAGCCTTTGGAGGAGCTGTGTGCTTTTCTTTTAAAAATAATCTGGTAATGTACTGTATGTCATTTGCCGGAAAATTAAATGGGGCCTTTTTTCATTGTTAAAGCGGAGCGCCACCCAAAAGGGGAAGTTCTGTTTTAAGGACTGCTCCCCCGCTCCCCATTAAGGATTGGCACCTTTGGGGAGCAGGTACCCGAATTTGACAGGTACCCGCTCCCACTTCTGGTCCGATCGCCTAGGCGACCGGAAGTGGAAGGTGTCCAGGCTCCCTCCCTCCCTGTAGTCTTTTGGGACATGTGACAGGTCCCAGAAGACTACAGGACCATTCACAAAGCGCAGCACTACTCGCACATGCAAAGTGGGCTGTCACAGCCGGGTACCCACACTGAAGGTACCGGCCTCCTGGAATACAGGACAGCCGGTGAAACAGGCTGCGGGGGACACACCGCGGGACTGAGGGACAGGTAAGTGGTTGTTTTTTTAAAAGTCAGAAGCTACAGTTTTTGTAGCTGCTGACTTTTATTTTTTTAACAGGGTAAGTGGAACTCCACTTTAATGTCATTTACAATAAAACAGGTTGAGTCCTGCTAAAATGCATACCAAACCATTTGAGTCTGGCATAGATTTTAATGCAAAATAAATAAATAAATCAAAGAATGTGTGAAGTCCCACTAAAAATCCATACCTGACCCTAATCTGAGCATGCAGCCTGGCTGGCCAGGGGCAAAGGGATGGAAAGTGTGTGCCTCCCCCCTGAACCATACAAGGCCACATGGATTTAACATGAAGGTGTGCCATGTTCAGGAGAACAAGGGCCTCTTCCCCACAACCCTTGCCTGGTGGTTTTGGGGGTCTGTAGATGGAGGCATGGAGAACTTATTGGAATATAGGGGCACCCAGATACAGCCACCTCATGTGAACGAGAATGGGGTACACAGTACCCCTACTCATTCAGAATGAAAAAATCCCCCATAATTCTGTCATCATCAATCACACCATCCAGCAATGCAGATCCATGTTGCCTGAAAGCTGACTGATGACCCTCTGAAAGAAAAAAAAAAAAAAAATGCCTCCATCCCATTTGTTTGTCACCCACCAAATAGTCCAGCAGATGACAGCTGTTATATAAAAAGGGTTGTGTTTGGCCTGAACCTTGAGCTCATCTCTATCAGCCACTGTACAGAAAAGAGGAGTATAAAAGGAGGGGTATATAATGAATTGTTAACAAACTGTGCTCTTTTTATCCTAGAATGCATGGCCAGACCTGAAGCTGAGAGGTAAACTAGCTCCATACTTGTACTGTACATTGTATTATTAACATGCTTTTGAGTATAATTTGTAAATACTGTATCATGTAACCCACTGTACATATACTGTACTATACAGTATTTACTGTTTAGTGTGTTATTAATAAATATTAGGTATTCCTATCAGTAAATGTATTTTGCAGATTGAACTACTTCTTTTGTCCAATAATCCTCAGCTCAAACTGCATACACAATATGTAAATCCTCTCAGTATTAGAGTAGTAACTGGAGTGTATTCACATACACACTTAACCTAGTTTACAAGTTTGACTTTTTTCTTTTTGAATATATTTCTTTTTTTTTTTTTTAGGTTTTTAGATATTAGGGACAGAAAATATGCAAAAATAGCAACATTTACACTTTTAACAGTTGGTACATGTTTGTGTTAATGTCTTTTTCAGGTTGCTATTTTAATTTTTTCCCCTGCTTCCTAAAATTTTCAAGTAACATCAAAACCCTAAATAAGGCAAAACATTTTAATGGACTTTTGTTTCATTCCAACCCATTGATAATCAGGTACAATTCATTAATTCTGAATTTATAAGAAGCAAGAAAGTGAGGATGGTGACAAAGCCTCACTACGCACTTCACTGCACAGTACTACATGAATGGATCTTTTTTTTATTAAAAAATGCTAGCTAGAGCATAATCCAAATTATTATTGGTGTCATTCTTCCTTTTGGGCTCAGGCTTATTCCTTACTCCCACTATATATTATTTACTCACCTCAAACCTTATTTTATTAGGATCATAGCCCTTCTCAACAAAACACTGCTTAACAACCTTCGATATGTGCTTGATATATAAATATATATACTGTATATATATATATATATATATATATATATATATACAGTGGGGCAAAAAAGTATTTAGTCAGCCACCAATTGTGCAAGTTCTCCCACTTAAAAAGGTGAGAGAGGCCTGTAATTGGCATCATAGGTAGACCTCAACTATGAGAGACAAAATGAGGGAAAAAATCCAGACAATCACATTGGCTGATTTGGAAAGAATTTATTTGCAAATTATGGTGGAAAATAAGTATTTGGTTACCTACAAACAAGCAAGAATTCTGGCTCTCACAGACCTGTACCTTCTTCTTTAAGAGGCTCCTCTGTCCTGCACTCATTACCTGTATCAATGGCACCTGTTTGAACTTGTTATCAGTATAAAAGACACCTGTCCACAACCTCAAACAGTCACACTCTAAACTCCACTATGGTGAAGACCTAAGAGCTGTCGAAGGACACCAGAAACAAAATTGTAGACCTGTACCAGGCTGGGAAGACTGAATCCGCAATAGGCAAGCAGCTTAATGTGAACAAATCAACTGTGGGAACAATAATTAGAAAATGGAAGACATACAAGACCACTGATAATCTCCCTCAATCTGGGGCTCCACGCAAGATCTCACCCCGTGGGGTCAAAATGATCACAAGAACGGTGAGCAAAAATCCCAGGACCACACGGGGGGACCTAGTGAATGACCTGCAGAGAGCTGGGACCAACGTAACAAAGGCTACCATCAGTAACTCACTACGCCGCCAGGGACTCAGATCCTGCAGTGCCAGACGTGTCCCACCGCTTAAGCCAGTACATGTCCAGGCCCGTCTGAAGTTTGCTAGAGAGCATTTGGATGATCCAGAAGAGGATTGGGAGAATGTCATATGGTCAGATGAAACCAAAATAGAACTGTTTGGTAGAAACACAACTCGTCGTGTTTGGAGGAGAGAGAATGCTGAGTTGCATCCAAAGAACACCATACCAACTGTGAAGCATGGAGGTGGCAACATCATGCTTTGGGGCTGTTTCTTCGCAAAAGGACCAGGACGACTGATCCATGTACAGGACAGAATGAATGGGGCCATGTTTTGTGAGATTTTGAGTGCAAACCTCCTTCCATCAGCAAGGGCATTGATGATGAAACATGGCTGGGTCTTCCAAAATGACAATGATCCCAAACATACCACCAGGGCAACGAAGGAGTGGCTTTGTAAGAAGCATTTCAAGGTCCTGGAGTGGCCTAGCCAGTCTCCAGATCTCAACCCCATAGAAAACCTTTGGAGGGAGTTGAAAGTCCGTGTTGCCCAGCGACAGCCCCAAAACATCACTGCTCTAGAGGAGATCTGCATGGAGGAATGGGCCAACATACCAGCAACAGTGTGTGCCAACCTTGTGAAGACTTACAGGAAACGTTTGACCTCTGTCATTGCCAACAAAGGATATATATAACAAAGTATTGAGATGAACTTTTGATTTTGACCAAATACTTATTTTCCACCATAATTTGCAAATAAATTCTTTCCAAATCAGCCAATGTGATTGTCTGGATTTTTTTTCTCATTTTGTCTCTCATAGTTGAGGTCTACCTATGATGCCAATTACAGGCCTCTCTCATCTTTTGAAGTGGGGGAACTTGCACAATTGGTGGCTGACTAAATACTTTTTTGCCCCACTGTATATATAAATCTCCCTTGGGGATTGATTACTGTTACAGTATGATTTATGGTTTTAAAGAAGTAGTATGTAGAGAAGAGAGAAGAGGGGTAGACATTTAATAACAGTATACCTGTTTTTAAGATGGAGATGTTAAAAATTTGGCCTCTGGAGGGAGCAATTGGAGACCTATATAATATTGGTACAATGGAGGGAATGTTATATACTAGGTATATAGGGAGTGTTATGTAACTATTGGGGGAATATGCAGCACAATGGTATTCATCTTTTTTTGGGGTGGTGCTATCATAGACCACTGGGGGGGGGGGGGGGGGAGTTGTAGCCGTATGATTCTGCTCCCTCCTCAGACTACATTGGAACATCACACTATATGATGTTTTTTACATATGAAGATTATATAGAGTACCGTATTTTTCGCTCCATAAGACGCACCTGACCATAAGACGCACCTAGGTTTTTGAGGCGAAAAACAAGAAAAAAAAATATTCTGAACCAATGGACTGCAGACACAGTACAGGGGATGACCAGAGACTGCGGACACAATACAGGAGATGACCAGAGACTGCGGACACAATACAGGAGATGACCAGAGACTGCAGACACAGTACAGGAGATGACCAGAGACTGCGGGCACAGTGCAGGAGATGACCAGAGACTGCGGACACAGCGCAGGAGACGACCAGAGACTGCAGACAGTGCAGGGAATGACCAGAGACTGCAGACAGTGCAGGGAATGACCAGAGACTGCAGACAGTGCAGGGAATGACCTGAGACTGCAGACAGTGCAGGGAATGACCTGAGACTGCTGACAGTGCAGGGAATGACCAGAGACTGCTGACAGTGCAGGGAATGACCAGAGACTGCAGACAGTGCAGGGGATGACCAGAGACTGCTGACAGTGCAGGGGATGACCAGAGACTGCTGACAGTGCAGGGGATGACCAGAGACTGCAGACAGTGCAGGGAATGACCAGAGACTGCTGACAGTGCAGGGAATGACCTGAGACTGCAGACAGTGCAGGGAATGACCTGAGACTACAGACAGTGCAGGGAATGACCAGAGACTGCAGACAGTGCAGGGAATGACCAGAGACTGCTGACCTTTGGGGAGGGAGGGGGAGCGGGTACCTGAATTTGACAGGTACCCGCTCCCACTTCCGCGGAGTTGTCCTTCGCTCTTCTTCCCGGGCCGGCTTCTGTGACAGCCAGGTGCCCACTGCGCATGCGCGAGAAGCGCTGCGCTTTGTGAATGGCCCGGCGCCTTCTGGGACCTGTCATGTGTCCCAGAAGACACCGGATCATTCACAAAGCACAGCACATGCGCAGTGGGCACCCGGCTGTCACAGAAGCCAGCGCAGGAAGACTGTGCAGCGCTGGAGGGAGGAACAGGTAAGGCCCTGCAGGAGAGAACAGCTGAGCGGCCGGCCCGGTATTCTGACATGGTGGCGGCAGAAATACCGGACTGGCCACTTTATATTCGCTCCATAAGACGCACTGACATTTCCCCCCCCTTTTTTGGGGGGAAAAAAGTGCGTCTTATGGAGCGAAAAATACAGTACCTATTTAGTTATGTTTTTTAAATGTCATGTTACCGATTGATGCCCATGAGATTGAAAAATAATTAGTTTAGACTTGGATGTCCACTCATGTAATTGATGTCAATATCCAATAGAAAATATGGCTGACTGTTATCTGAGTGAATGCAGAAGTAGGTTATAAATGGCCAGCCCACTGGTCTGTCGTGCACATCATTTGAGGAAGTTGTACTGACGAAACGCGTCCATCAGTGACATTGTACGCAAACCGGAAGTCTAAGATAAGGTTATGTATGCTGGCCTACTATTTACACTTATAAAAGATAGGGATCAGTGAGCGCTCAAAAATAGCTGCTATTGCACACTAAGGTAACCAGATAAAACCTCAATAAACATATGAACTAAAAGGTGCAGCGCTAAAATTAAATTATGTCCTTTGAAATAGGTATAAATGAATATATCATAAAATAAAGATAAAATGTTCATAAAGTGGCAGTTCATGTTAGGGTGCCAATCACAGCTGTAGATTACTTCAATATTCAGTGATGTGCCCAAAGGTGTGGTAAAAAAACGCACTCACCAGATGTGTATTATAAATACACATGTATTATGTATAATCAGAGGTCCCCTTTAAGGATGGATGAGGTAAGCCGGATGCAGAATCTCCTCCCTCTGGATAGTGTACAGCCCAGTGGACATCTCCTGGATACTCAAGGAACTAGTACGGACTAGCTGTAATCAGACCTGGGTGTGGCAAGTGAAATTTAACTCCAAAAACAGTGGTTAATCACAATTCGTTTGTGGTACAGGGAAGGGAGGGAATTACTTTTTCACATAGGGCCAGCTACTTAATTTGCAGAACCCACCCTGGAAGTTAGCTGCAGTACCCTACAGGACCCAGAGGAGGGAGTTTCCATCTCAGGCTGCAAACACCCATTCATCCTTAAAGGGGACCTCTGGCAGGATTAGTTCCTTGAGTATCCAGGAGATATCCATTGGGCTGTACACCATCCAGAGGGAGGAGATTCCGTACCCGACTTACCTCATCCATCCTTAAAGGGGACCTCTGATTATACATATTACATGTGTATTTATAAAACGCATCTGGTTTACTCCCCACTGACCCATATGGTGATCTCCTGGCATGAACAGTTGCTGGTAAAACCAGTCCATATTGACAGCTATAATTCTTACCCCATACTTTTTTTGAAACCATGGCTGCATATTATGAACTTGAAAACTTGACTATATCATTGTAGCTCTGATGTATGCCTGATTTGTGGTTGAATTTTATAATGAGTCACACAGTTATAGCTATGAGCTACACTAGACATATACCTGGATTTTGAGTAATTTATTTATATATAACACTGATGCCATCTTGAGGTTAATTGCTTCTGCTGCACTATGGTTAGAAAACAAAATCAGTTTGAACGTTATGCAGGACTTGCCTCATTCAGAGATGTGTGTGTACAATTAGCCTGGAAGATGTGCTTTGGGACTTTGCCATACCGATAACCTTATGCATGAGGATATATACAGCATGTGCTGAAAAAAGTCATGTCTGTCCTGATGTGAATCACTACTTGGTTTGACAAGTGGATATTAACAATTAAGCTACAAATCAGTGTACTGATAAATCTATACTACAATGGCAATGTAAACTCATCAATAAAGTGTATCTCATGTAGGAGATAGAACTTTGTTCAATGTGTGATTTCCTTGATTGTCTGTTGGAGTCACTACCTTTTGGAATACCATTAAAATGTTTTACAAAATTACATGCAGTTAGACTACTGCAGAGTTAGAGGACTTAGATTCTTAGACACCTGTGTATGAAAAGCGTGGCACCATAATATTGGATTGCATTGCTTTACAGTTTATATAGTGAAGACTTAATTCGGTATTCCATAATTCTGCTATAAAATAACAAAGAATATTTTTTTGTAAATTTTTTCTATGAATATCAATGACTATAACTTATTGGACATTATGGTAGTAAGTGATTTAACATGTTGTTTAAGTGGTTTTAAATGTATACTATTTCTATATGTGTTGATGTATTAAAAAATACATTTTAAAAATGTGTTCTTGTAGATCTGAATATGTATGCTTGAGGCATTCTCGTTTTAGATTCGTAAATCTTCCTTTTCCTGTGTTTGCCTGCACCAGATTACATGATACAGAAGTATCATGCATGAACTACTATTGGTATGGTGCAGTGCAATTTCAGGTGATTCCAAAGGCATGGGCTCAAATCGCACCATACCGAACATACAGCATGTTACTGTGCAATTCCTATTGTGAACCAGCCCTTAATGAAAAAGCCTGCAGTGTCCACATTCTTTTAGAAGTACTTAACCCTTAAGTTATATCTTAACAAAAAGGAGTTTTATCTTAGTGGAGATGTCTTTAAAAATCAATGATCCATTCACACAAGTAGGAAATAACATTTCTGAGAATGTTCCATGCACCAGCAGTATGCAGAACACCTCTAGGTTGCCATATTGGATTGAATGTTTGGAACATTTTTAGAAAATTACAGTGGCTCCTTATTTTAATATAAAAGGTAATTTTTTAATAATGTTAAATCACAAAATGGATTGTGTAGCAATTGTATTTTTTTTATGAAAGTGGAATGTCTGCTATGATATTAACTTGAAAAAACCCCCACAATTTACCTATAATGTGACAAGTACAAAGATTGCTCAGTAAACCATAAAAGGCTTATGTAGAAAACAAAGAATCATCTATAAAACCCAAACATCATGCCAACTGTACAAATTAAGGTAGCATAAATGTGGGTATTTGTTACAATAATAATTATAAAGGAGAAGCAAATGAAATCGTACTGTATATGCATATGCATTCACTGTACTATCCTCCCTGAAGCATACACTATGGCTTTTTTCATTGGTTTTTCTACAGTTACCTTTATGATACACTGCACAGTTCATGCTGTATTGTTCTTCCTTGAAGAGTGCATGCAATATATCGTAAGATAGCCTGAAAAACATTAGCAAAGTTTTAGGTCATGTCTAGCCCTTTTTTCAAGCTAGGAGCAAAGTGCATGTTAAATCACTAACACCCCTCCAATGATCAATACAGAAGAAGTGTCTGCATCGACCAATGGGAGGGTGAAAGGTGGTGTGGACCTGATGACATCTACCTTTCCCTAAACCAGTGTTTCTCAACTCCAGTCCTCATGGACCCCCAACAGGTCATGTTTTCAGGATTTCCATTATTTTGCACAGGTGATTTGATCAGTTTCACTGCCTTAGTAATTACCACAGCTGTTTCATCTGAGGGAAATCCTGAAAACATGACCTGTTGGGGGTCCATGAGGACTGGAGTTGAGAAACACTGCCCTAAACTAACATAGCTGGCAATCATTACTTACCAAAAAAACAGATAGGATAAAAAAAACTTCCATTGCACAAATTGCTTTTAACGCAACAGATACCTCCAAACCTCTTCTCATTTTATTTTATTTTATTTTTTTCCAATAAAGATTTTTATTGATTTTTCAGAAATATAAGAAAGGTTATAACAAGATACACAAAACTCAAAAAGAAGTCTTTGAGGGGGTCTTAACAAAAGACACAATTGTACAATTCTGTCTCATTTAAAATTGTATTACATCTTTGAAGTGCTGTGTTCCCTTAAATACACATAGCAGAACAAAAGGAGAACAGAATAAAAGGAAACTCCTATATTACATATGCATTCTGTGTACTTGCATATTACACAATAAAATGACGGGGCCCTGTTGACACATTAATAACCACTCAAGCCTCTCTCTGTAAAACACAGAGATTTGATTTGATGAGGAACTGGTATCACAACATCAGGCTCCACTTTTTACTGAACACTCACAAAGCGGGGAATACCCCCCCAAAAAACAGTGACTGATGTCCATCAAACAGCTATATACGTGTTTTTTTATGTGTCTGGACCAGCACTATGGTCATATCACCACAACCCTATATTCGCAAGTGACAAATGTTTGACAAGTGTATATTAATCGGTTTGTGTGAGAGTTATAATGTCTACAAACTATGTAGCTATTTATGCTATACTTGTAATCACAGTGATCAGCGAATTATAGTGTGAGTGTGATAATGTGGTGACCAATCTGGCACTAACAGACAATGACTGGGAGGGACTCTAACTGACTGTGATGTCCCTAGTGACACTAATACAGTAATCAATGATAATATTGTACATTGTACTAATGACACTGGCTGGGAATGGGTTAACTGTGGGCCTAACAAGTGTTATTTGTGTAATGACTGCTGCTTTTGCTCCCAGATCTGGCTGTTTTTTTCTTCCTGCTTTTCAGGGGGAAGAAACAGCTAGATTGCTGTTCTGTTTACACAGAGTTCTGTGTGCTTGGACACAGCTGATCAGCATGTTTCAACTGAAATCATTGGCTGAAGCCTGCTAACAATCTCATGCTGTATCCAATCACAGCATAGGTCAGCAGGGGGTGAGTGCATGTGGGCCCAAAAGCCTGAAAGCAGGTGGCGAATTACATGTATGTTGCCTAGCCTGCAG